TCTCTCTCTCTCTTTTGGTTTTTCGAGACAAGGTTTCTCTGTGCAGCTTTGGAGCCTATCCTGGCACTTGCTCTGGAGACCAGGCTGGTCTCAAACTCACAAGAGATCTGCCTGCCTCTGCCTCCTGAGTGCTGGGACTAAAGGGGTGCGCCACCAACTCCCGGCTTGTTTTGTACTCTTAAGACAAGATTTCACAACCTGCCTGCCTCCACTTCCAGTAAGTATTGGATTTACAGGTGTGTGCCACTACACCCAGCTCCAGTTTCAGATTTAATTTGCTCAGAGTAAATATTTCAGATAATTTCAATGGCAAGAAAATTCAAATTCCTACCAGCCTTGGCTCTCTCTCTCTCTCTCTCTCTCTCTCTCTCTCTCTCTCTCTCCTTCACTGTGGTTAGCTTTCACAGTTCTTAGCTTCGAAGCCTTGCAATCCTATCACCTAGCGACAGTAAAGGAAGTTCTTATTCTATCCCCCAGAGGGATCTGACTTAATCTCTTGTTGCTTGTAAGGTTGGTATCAGGGTAGGGACACTTTGCATAACGCTTTATTTATCTCAAATGACTTTTGCATAAATGACCCTTTTGATGTCTCCTGAAGCCCAGAGAACTAAGAGGGGTGTTTATCATCTCCCTGAAGTAAAAGAGGAAAGTCTAACACAGAAAAAGGGACATACTTGGTATGAGTACATTTCTATAAAACACATTTGTGTAAGATGAATCCTATTTTCCAGGGAGGAAAAAAATTGAAAATAAAATCCCGAGTCCTCTTCATCCTATACAAAAAGCAATCTGAAAGTGGAAAATAGTAAGCATTATTTTTATTAATGTAATGTGTAGCCCATATATCAGAGTCCAGTAGGTTATCACCGTCCCTGTATCTGCAGAAATGGCTCAGCCTGAGGAGATAGCATGAAAACCTCAGTGCTACAAAGGCTGCTGGGGAGTGACACGGTTACAGTGGTCAAGGATGTAAAACTGAAATGCTAAGGTATGGCTGTTCTTCCCTCTCGCCTACAGCCTGCCGTTGTTAAGGAAACCACCCTGTAATATATTACTCTCATTTTTACTGTTGTTTTGTGTCCTCACCAGCGGACATGACATCTGATTTTTGGTCTTTCTGGCTGTGGGCGCATGGGATGTGCGGTAAATACCCACAAACTAGCTGTTAGTGACAGAGCCAGAATGTACACATAGAGCACTGACTTGCACTCCAGTCTTGCTTTTTGTCTGTTCAGAGCATCCAGTAGACCCACAAGTGCTACTTAGATTTTGCATTGGTTGCCAGATCTAAAGACCTTCTGTCTGGTCTTTGGAGGAGCCTTCGAATACAAAATATTGCAATGCCTTTGGCTTTATGAAAGCCAGATCTACTCACAACGCTCATCTGTTTGAGGCCTATTGAATAGCCCTGTTGCCAGTGAAGATCAATGATAGAATTTTAAAACACTCTAGAAGGACCAATTATGATGATCATGTGACACTTTAAAACCAATTATGATGATCATGTGACACTTTAAAACCTAATGTGATTTTTCCCCCACCATGGAATTCCCAAACGGTGTTCTAAAATTTTAGGTGTTTAGTGGAGAATTTAAGAAAAAAATTTCTCTATCAATTCTTTGTACCTAAAAATGCTAATTACTTTCTATACTAAGATATTATTTACAAGGCAGAGTTTTCTCTGCATTTGGTATTTCATAGCCAACACCTTTGAAATCCAAGAGCCTTGCCTGGGGTAGGAAGTTACAGGCTGCCTTTTAGTTCCTTATACCATACTGAATCCATACCTGGGACAGTCAAGGCTGGCTCTCTCATCTCCTCCAGGTCTGCCCTTTTTTCTTTTCTCCTCCTCTCCCCTCCCTTTTTGTCTTTAGTCACTGTTTTATTGCTGTGAAGAGACACCTTGACCAAGGCAACTCTCATTTTAAAAAAGCTTTTAATTGGGGGCTTACTTACATTTAGAGGGTTAGTCCATTATCACAATGTCAGGAAGCAGACAGGAATGGGGCTGGAGCAGTAGCTGAGAGCTTTGCATCCTGATCCTAGGGCAGTAGGCAGAGAGAGAGACTGGCCCTGGTGTGAGCTTTTGAAACCTCAAAGCCTACTCATAGTGATAAACCTCCTCCAACAAGGACACTGGGGACTAAGCATGCAGATATATGAGCCTATTGGGGACATTCTCATTCTAACACATTTCCCCTCTCCTGCCTTCTCTCTTTTCTCATTTCATTAAAAGAAAATCTTCTTCACAGATGTAGCTATGAAGTTCTGTGGAGAATGTCCGAGCACTTTCTAATTGCAAGCAGTTGGTGACCATGCTTTTGCATGCTTCACAAGTGAGGTTTCAATGGCAGGGTTAGTAGAAAGACTGACATCACTGCTTGCTGTTTATTTCTGGTATAAATCTGAGAAATTGTGACTTACATGAAAAATTCCAATACTTGAACAAGTCCTGTCTACAAAATCAATTTGAGTGTCTCCTTGACTTTGACAATTGCATTTTAGCGTTTGGGTCACAACACTCTAAGCGTCGGCTTCTCATGACATTTGGATGTTCAGTATTCTGCTGTGAGTCCTATGCATTTTCCCTGTCTGCTTCTACCATGGGCATTTATACACTCCCAGAGGCTGGCCAGAATTTCTACCATTGCATTCGTAGTGTCCAGAAGCAAAAAGAAACCAGCAAACCAAACAATGCATAATCAAATCACAGTCCACAGTGATAGCTCTGGGAATGGTGGCTTACATCTGTAATCCCACTGTTTAGGAAGATGGCTGTGACTTAGAGGCCAGCCAGGTCATCCAGGCCTTTCTCAGAAAAAAAAAAAAAAATGGGGGGAGGGGACCAGAGAGATGGCTCAGTGGTTAAGAACCATCTTTCTAGGGGACCAGAGTTTAATTTCTAACACCTATATGGTGGTCTACCATCATTTGTAACCCCAGTTCCAGGGGGATATAAAACCCTCCTGAGGCTTCTTAGGATACTAGGCATGCATGTGATTCACAAACATACATGCAGACAAAATATCCATACACATAATTTTTTTAAAATTTAGAAACACTGACATGACACATGCCTTTAATCCAAGCACTTGGGAGACAGGGGCAGGTGGCTCTCTACTGGTTCAAGTCCAGTCTGGTCTACAGACCAGCCAGGAATACACGGTGGCACCCTTCCTCAAAAACAAAACCAAACACACACACACACACACACACACACACACGAGAGAGAGAGACAGAGACATAGACAGAGACAGAGCTCTGTCTCAAACAAACAAAATGTTAATGTGATTGATCATAGAATAGTGACTTGGGCTAGACAGATGGCTCAGCCGCTAAAGGCTAGGCTCACAACCAAAACGTAAAATAGTGACTCAGTAAGTTAAGAATCATTATAGGCTGCCCTGCAAACAGGACACCTGTGACACAAATGTAGAATTATAGTAAATATTACTTGGTATTTACTCATAAAGGATAAATGCCATGTGTTTGATGAGCCAAAATGGACATTATTTCGTGTTCAAATTCAGAAATTCACTATTAGTGTAATAGTGTTATTTTACAGAGTGGAACAACTCTTCTTATGCTTTTGTTTCTTGCTATTTTTTCATATTTGCCTTCCCTTCTCTGCCTATGATATAAATTTCTGAGTAGTACAGGAACCTGGGCTTTAGTGGATCAAGAGACAGAACTTGGGGACCCCTGTGTAGGCAGAAGAGAATTCTATCTAGACCTCAGATCAATCCAATCTTCTATGATGGGACCCTTTCAGACATTTTTAAAAGTTAACATCTGCACATCCTCATGTACACACATCACATGACTTTTGCAAGAGACACCAACTTCTGCTGTAGCTGTGAGTTGAAGAATTATGCATAGATAACCCTTTAGGTCATTTCAAAATAGCCCTGCTGCCATCTAATGCTGACAAGATTTCTCGGGCAAAAGAGAGAATTTTGT